AACTGTATATTCTTTGATGACAACAAATTTAAGGCTATCGTGAGTATATATTGCCACACCACCACCTCGCTTGTTCTTTCTACAGACTGTGACGCAATTGTAGCCTGTAAAGGATACAGCGTCTTCACAGCTCGTGAACCAAGTCTCAGTAATAGCTAAGAAATCAAGTTTATGTTTTAAGAGGTCGAGCAGTATATCAATGGCTTCTTTTTTATTTCGTAAGCTTTGAGAATTCAGATGAAGTAACGATAACTGGTCTTTATCGTAAAAAAGTTTAGTTGCTGAAAGGAATATGCGTCGTAGTAAAGGTATTTCTTTCCACGCGCTATAGTGATTTGGTGATCCGGTGTAGGTTGACATCATTTAGTTTAGCGAATTTTTTCGAGATCTCGCTCTGATACGATTCTAATTACTCGGTCACGCGGGGTGCGGCGCACAAAAAGCTTTCCATTTCGGTGCCATGTGAACTGATATTCTTTTTCAGTTGCCCTCGATTTCATTTTCTAGAAAAGTGCTTTGTCGTACGCTGTGAGGTTTTCATTGAAGAAAATGTTTAACTTTGCTTCTCTTAAGTCACTCTTTATTTTAAGCCATCTTTCTTTCATAAGGCGAGACGAGAACCTGACTATCACAATATCAGGTTTATCACTTTTTTGTCTTTTTTTGATGGCATACGGTGCACAGCCTCGACGTTACTCTCAGAAAGGGGTGGAAGCTCAAGATCACATGCTAATTTGTTTAGCTTTTCTAGAAGGATTTCATTAGTGCGTTGGGACAGTTCGTGCACTTCGAGGTTAAGGCGTCTGCTACACTGATCTAACTCGTTGATTTCGTGTTTGAGCTTATCTACTCCTTTTTCGTTAGCCTCAGTCTCGAGTTTCTCGACTCGTTTTTTGAGGTCCGAAAAGTCATTCGACTGGTGCTTCAGTTTCGCCATAGCTTCATCATATATATTCGACATGACCTTTACCAACTCTTCGATGTTCCCAACAGTTGTTTCAATTTTTTGCAAAGCATCAACCTTTGATTTGATTGTTAGCAATTCATTTAATTTGCGGTGGATTTCAGCTAACTCAGAATCAAAGCTCGTTTCCGAACCACGAATTTGACCCTCTGAACGACTTTCAGCATGAGCCATCGATTTGCAAGGCGCGCATGTCCATGATTTTTTTGCCGCTGCCGATTTCTTTTTGTAGGCATTTTCTGTTACCTCAGAGCACGTACCAACATGGTAATAACACCTGCATTCACAGCACATTAGCCACAAATCACTGTCGCTAATCTTGTCGTTAGAATTACGACACGTGTCCCCCATGTTGACACTCAAGCGAAAATCACTCTACCCTTCAATATGTTGAACCGATCAGCCGGCAAGTTCGCTCTTAGTTCTTGAGTGCAATGTTGATTGATTGATATGTGGGGTTTAACGTCCCAAAACCACCATATGATTATGAGAGACGCCGTAGTGGAGGGCTCCGGAAATTTCGACCACCTGGGGTTCTATAAAGTGCACCCAAATCTGAGCCCATGGGCCCATACAACATTTCCGCCTCCATCGTAAATGTAGCCGCCCGCAGCCGGGATTCGATCCCGCGACCTGCGGGTCAGCAGCCGAGTACCTTAGCCACTAGACCACCGCGGTGGCGCAACTGACTTCAATGTTGAGAGCAGAGTACAAAAGAAACAAAAATTTTTGAACAACAAAGAATGAACAAGAGGCTGTGACTTTGTCCGTCTTCTTCATCGCGCTTTTTTTTTTTTCGCTATCACCCCTATAGGCTGACTGAGCCAATATTTGTAAAAATGGCATTACTACTGAGCAGATATTCACACGTCGCTTACGTTTGCGTGAAAAGAGTTAATCTAGGAAAAAGCATGCCTGCGTAGTGCCATATGCAGACACAACCACGCAGAGTTCGTGGCGTGGAAAAACATTTAAACCATGACTGAACTCTCTGCGCGTGACTTATTAAAGCGACAAGTGAAAATCACCTACAAAAGCGCAATGCTTGGACCGAGTTACCGGGAACTCACGGCTGCTTCGTGTTGCCATATTCCTTAATTTTCGCGCCTGGCGTGGGCGTTGCGAGTAAGAATTTTGCATCGATAAGTACGTTTATAGGGGCAAGAAAAAGTTTATTTCCGATGTTAATAACTGCGCTGATCTCAAAGCTATGTAAAGCTGCCATACGTACTAAAAAAGAGAAAGGAAAAACACATGATTTTATCCTCCACAGAGAGTTTTTCCTCAGATGCCACCTGCACGCGCTGCCCGCAGGAAGTGCTCGAAGCGGAATCGCATTCGGAGAGCGTAGAAGTGGTTCTTTTCTACGTATACGCTGCACGGGACTCGCGGAATGCGAGTGCTATATACAGTGCGGCACTGCTTCTTCTCTCCCGCTTGCTGACGCAAGAACGGCGCGCACTGAGTTGATGAACGGCCACGCGAGCCAGCCGAGCGGCGCGATGTTCGTACTTGTTTCTCGCAACGGCAGCCGCAGATTCCGAGCTCGAACATCTGAGGCCTGTGCAGCGCAGCTACAGAGTGGTGGCGCAATACGGACTGCTACCGTTGTTTGTTTGTCGAAAGACGCTCCCTTTATTTTCTTATTTTCTTTTTTTCGAAGCGCGAGCCTGTGTGTGGCGCAAACAATGAAAAACACCGTTTTGCTACCAAACACCGAACGCGCCCCCTTTTCTGATTTTTCCTCTCTTCGTTCGGCGGTTTGCGTTTCTTCTTAAGGCGCAGAACAAACAACTCGACAAGTCTTGCGTTAAGGCAGCGGATCCGGGTCAACCCCGAACACGAGCCGTTGTAATTGGTTTAGCGCTTGAAAAGGAAGCCAAGCAAAAAAAGATGGCTTCTCTAATACTCTTCTGCCAGAGGCGGCGCGATCTTTGAACTGCCCTCCTCCCCCCTCCGACGCCACGAGTTGTTTTTATTGTCTTTACTTGATTCAGCTATATACTGCTCATTCCTCGCGGCGTTGTGCTATAGGAATCTCGAACGCGGAAGTCCACTTAACTGAATGGGGTTCCCCCTTCTTTTTTCCTTGTTTGTTATGTGATTTTCAATAGCAAACGCACGTGCGAAAAAGATTCCCAAGCAAAGTCGCGCTGTATTTTAATATCGCGTCTTCTGTTTTCGGGCTTGTTAGGCGCCCCACGTCAGAACTGCGAGTGCCATTCATTTAGTTCCAGCTATTCAAGATTCATTTGATTGATGTGTGGGGTTTAACGTCCCAAAACCACCATATGATTATGAGGGACGCTGTAGTGGAGGGCTCCGGAAATTTCGACCACCTGGGGTTTTTTAAGGTGCGCCCAAATCTGAGCACATGGGCCTACAGCAGTTCCACCTCCATCGGAAATGCAGCCGCCGCAGCCGGGATTCGATCCCGTGACCTTCGGGTCGGAAGCCGAGTACCTTAGCTACTAGACCACCACGGCGGGGCCTATTCAAGAAGCCACACACAATGGTTGTTGTTTATGCGCAACGAAAACGAAAGAAAACACGATCACTTCCACGTGTCTGTTTATTCAAAGGGATTAATAGTATAAGAGCATAAATACGAGCCTAGCTTAAACATTAACTAGTGCATTCACGCGCGCTTTCCGAGCACTCGACCTTCGGAGCTAATGGAAAAGTTATATACAGAGGCAAGGAATGCAGTGCTGTGAAAAGATAACTATTTTAGTCGGTGGGCTATTCTTTGTGTATCGATCTCATACACGTGACCTATACATTCGGAGGCAGACTATACACCGTCCGCACATTATATACAGGAACGAGTAAGCACTACGCAGCGTATACATTTTATCGGCCATCAATTACACACGCTGGGGGAGGCAACCTGTATTGGGGCTGCCTATCCATTGATCCGATGGAGAACGATATATAGTTTGTTACTTTTGCGCATTCGCTCGTTAGTTGTCCAAGAGAGAAACTTTTCGTTGTACTAATCTATGGCTAAACACACCAAGCTGAATGTTGATTTGAGCTGGGATTTATTATGTAAAAACGGGTCGCCGGCAAATTATAAAATACGTGCGCTGCGTTATTACATTGTGCTACACTTTATGTGGGCAGGACAGCAGCGAGCTGCCAGCGATTTCGGTAGATAACACTCTTGAGACGCTAATAACTTCGCAAAAGTGAACTCGTCATTAAATTCGTTACCAACAGCCGATGTGTGCGAGAAAGAAAGAAAGAAAGAAAGAAAGAAAGAAAGAAAGAAAGAAAGAAAGAAAGAAAGAAAGAAAGAAAGAAAGAAAGAAAGAAAGAAAGAAAGAAAGAAAGAAAGAAAGAAAGGGAAAAGAAAGAAGAAAAGCTTAGAACACAGAATCCAACGCCATGGCTCCTCTAGAGCAAAACAAAGGCCTTGTTGTCGGCAACAACAGCCGTTTCGTTCAGGACGCAAGCACAGTTATATCTAACTTCGGCCGTATACAACCTGGGCATGTGACATCTTTTTATCCTCCCTTCTCAATGGGACGCTGCAAGCGCCAGAATGATGTGCAGTATACGAGGGTACTATTTCAGCCCCTGTTCATGGAAGCATTTCTCACCAGTTAATAACGTGCTCTAGCCCAATACCACATAACACCGCGTTGGCTCGTGGGAAGGGCATTCACGAAGAGACGGCGAAGCGTTCGCCATTCTTTTTGGCGAAAAACATCGCCGACAACATCATAACCGGCATGCCATCTCGCGCGGAGCCTCGTGAGCGAACCAAGCGCACGCGTCGACGGGTTAATTACCGCGCGTTTGAAAACGACAGCGCCCACTACAGCGAAGAGCCATCACAGACGGACTCGGCGTCCAAAAAGCGTTCTGCGTTAGGTCGACAGTGCATTCAGCGGGCCTAATGGCGGCATACCCCCTCGTTGTTTCGCTGCAGATCCCGGCCGCGCCCGCTGGAGAGTCCGGTCGGGCTGCAGCGGACCGCAGCTGAGAACCCCTGCACCATGAAGCCACGGAGGGCCCTGCTTCAACCAACATGGGTAATGGCATGAACAAGGTGAGATCAGCGCACTCGCTGCCAGGGCCATGTCGAGACGCGGTATGAAGCGCGAAAGTTAACCCCTCCCTGGTCCTCGTTATCCTTAACAGAAAGTCATGATGTTCATTTCGGAAAAGCGCTCTAAGCCTTGCTAACGCGCTAAACGTTCCGGAACGATGCCAACGAGGAAGTGGAGAAGGAAGAAAAAAAAAACTAAATCCTTCATTAAAAAAATTTACCTTTTCTTTTTCTTTTACTCCGAGACTAAACGTATTTGCAAAGAAACTAATATTGGGGAAAACTGTGAGAAAGTAATTAGACAGTTGTTATTTTCTTAAAAACAAAAAAGACAGTATAAAAGTTGTTATCCTCTGTTTTAATGGGGGCCTGTCAGAACGAGGCCACCTTTTTTTTTCCAGAACTAAAAGCGGTTGAGAAAGTTTCGAACTCTCATACTCCCTTTCTTTATATTATTATTACTGCCGCACTTTTAAACGCCAGTCGGCTGCTTACGTTCTAGAAGGCACGTCGCCACTTCTCGCGTGTTTACGAGCACGTCTGTCGGCTCTTTCGATGCACGTCAACACGAGACAAAATATGTGTACTTTCAATTTTTAGCAGTATTGATAGGCAGACCGGATCTGGCACGGAGTCATCCCGAAGCTACCAGAGCGAAATAGCGCGGACGTGCGGTTTCTGTCATTTTCTACTCATTTTTCTATCTGGACATGAATCTCTCTCTCTTTTTTTTCTTTTTCTTAACTCCAACGTGAGAACGCGCCTTCGAACTTCGAAGCATCATGCAATAATAACAGAGCAGTAACGCCATCACTCGAGCCTACACGAGTATCGACATGCGTGCCTCGCTCCTGTCGTTACGCTTTAAAGCACGTTTACGGTCGCCTCGCGCTACACGGACGACTGCGCTGTATGCAGCGAACGGCCGCGTATTCACTTCGTTGGCCTTTCCATCGTTTGTCATGTGTTTTGGAGCATTTACTTTCTCATCACATAAGCTCCACCAAAAAGGATAGGCTTTCTTTTTTTTTTTACTCGATTGATGCATTCCCAATAAATTATCAATAAGTATCATTCACAAAAAGAGCACCGCGTCCTTTGTCTCACTTGACATCGGCTTTCTTCGTAACTCCGAATTTCAAGAAAGGGGGCTCCTTTTTTTTAACTAAACTTTAAAAAGAACATTCTGTGAAAAGAAAGTCATATGCACGAGACAAAACAACTGACGCGTCACGGTGCACTGGATTTAACAAGATTTGTATGCGTAAATACTGCATGTTCAGCCGTTTCCAGAAGGGTAATTTTTTGTAACAAAAGCACTAAAATCTTAACTCCAACGCAGTGTTTAGATTTTCAGTCATCGGAGCGTAAAACTCCGCGACGCATGGGAATTTTCGAATCCGGTTCCAGCCGGAACGAAGCTGACGCGGCTGCGCGGAAAATCGAAACCGCTGCCCGCGTCCTGTGTAGGAGAACGCCATAACCAATGAGCCGTTGCGGATGGTTGAAAGCAAGGGACCAGGCAACGTGGCTTTCCGTCCGGTTTCTACAAAGGTTGAAACTAGCTTCAGTATTAGCCCAATAATACTACTACCATTGATAATGATGGAAGCAAGAATTAGAATGAATTACCATCATAGAGATGATGCGCTGTGCGCGTTCTCTCGCAGGTGCTGCCGGGGGTGTACATCGGCAACTTCCGAGACTCCAAAGACCCCGAGCAGCTACAGGCCAACAACATCACTCACATCATATCCATCCACGACACGGCCAGGAAGCTGCACGAGGTTAGAGCATGCGCCGCGATTGAACGCATACGAGCGCGTGGTGATCAAGATGATGATAAAAACTTGTTCAAACCGGGAGATAAAGGCAATGCCCAAGCACTGCTTGAAGCGCATTGCCATCCATGTGCACCGACAAGAAGCACAGCGTCATCGAACAATAAAACGCGTTGCGAGGCTAGTACAAGTTATTTTTATAGAACTGCGGCGCAGCAAAAGACGACAGACGAGTAAGAAAAGTCGTGCGCGTGAATTAAGGCAGAAAGTATTCGACTTGTGTATGGCAAGCACACAGCATAAAATCAAAAATACTTCAATATGATAAAGTACATAATACTGCCACCGCCGCGGTGGTCTAGTGGCTAAAATACTCGGCTGCTGACCCGCAGGTCGCTGGATTTAATCCAGGCTGCGGCGGCTGCATTTTCGATGGGGCGAAAATACTGTAGGCCCGTGTGCTCAGCTTTGGCTGCTCGTTAAAGAAACCAAGGTGGTCTAAGTTTCCGGAGCCCTCCTCATAATCAAATGTGGTTTTGGAACGTTAAAATTCAATTATCAATCAATCCTACATAATACTACAAATGCGACTAGATAGAACACAATGTATGGCAATAAGTATAAAATTAGATGTTGGGTAAGCGTTCGAACAGTGATCTATCTATCTATCTATTTTGATTTGATTCTTATGTTGGGTTTACCATCCCAAAACCACCATATGATTATGAGAGACGCCGTAGTGGAGGGCTCCGGAAATCTATCTATCTATCTATCTATCTATCTATCTATCTATCTATCTATCTATCTATCTATCTATCTATCTATCTATCTATCTATCTATCTATCTATCTATCTATCTATCTATCTCCCATCAGTAGATGTATAAGGCCTGATTATATCAAGCAGGATAAGTGGCTGTCTGTCACCACCTAGTTATAGAGATGATTACAATACATATCATGTTCCTCATTACCGTTTCCAATGTACAGGAGCCCAGGGGCGCATCACGTTCACGTGATGCGTGTCCCCTTGCATATTTTTTTCCTTCCTACTCTTAAATACGACTCATTTTTATATACTGTGGCATTTCCCTTCGTGGTATTGCTCGTATTGAATTTGAAAACTTTCCCCAAGCAGTGTTTCTTCGCAAGGGCATTTGCGTAGAATCCCCTGCATCTAGCTCGAAGTGTGACTTGCTTGGGGGGTAGAGACGTTCTTTTAGAAACTTAGGGATGCTAACTAGAGGAACGCTTTCAGTTTGTTACTCTGCACATGGGAAAACATTATAACGAAGTATAAATGAGGAAAAAATGGCACTGTAAGCGTTTGCTGATGCTATATAGTGAATAAAAACTACAAGGACGTTTGCGTGGTCTCCTGATCGTATATGAAGTCAGGAATATGATACAGGGTTGTTTCCTTCAATAGAGGGCGATCATCCAATTCGCTGAGCACAGCGGTAAGTTAGCGTCCGTGGGAAAATTACTAGAGACACTAGCACAGAATATGACCCTTTCATTAAAGCGGTCACAGGTTGTGGTGTAGGCTATTCCTTTGCGGAAAGAACAGTCATTGGTGAAGGCGACGCCAAACTCATCAGTTCGCACAAAAAAAGGTCATGTCTCTTCGGAGCAGTCCCGATTGCATACTCGAAGATTCAAATTACGGGATAGGTAACATGATCGGATATTTTCGACGCTGCCGGCCTATTACAACAAAACAGTCCGTATAAGCATAGGCTAAATTAATTATAGTTTACAGAGAAGCCCAGTTCTTCTCTCACAAGCGGATGCTAGAAGAAAATTCGGAGCTTTTGTGATCCCTCTAGCATTGTAATTTCCATTACCATTGCTGTTACGTGGGAAGGCATAAAAAAGGAATACTCGTGCTTCAATCATTACAACGTTTCTCGAGGCTTGTAAAGAGTTATTTACTAACAATGGTGGCAGTTTTATTTACGTATGAATAAATTGTTACGAAAGTAGGCTTCTCAATGTTTACATTTGTACAGCAACGTCACTTAGGCAAAAATAGTTTAGTGGGCGTGAATTTTCATGCGACAAATTGTTAGGAAGCCTATTTTCCTGGGGATCAATGAAACACTCCCCAAGCCACATTACTTTTGCATTTTTTTGAAAATATCAGTGACAATGTTTTCGAAAAAATAATGACAGCAAAGATAAAAGATCAGCAAAAACCCGTGTCGATGACAGCAAAGATCTTGAATACAGAAAGTAACATGAGCCCCCTGTTGTTTTTCAGGCTGAGAAGCATTTATTCTAGTGCCTTCATAAACGTAAAGCACTTTTTCTATCCCGGTGTTGTCAACACTAGCGTGCACCAAATTTAGCACAGCTTGAGAGACGCGATTACCTTCTTCTTGCGTTCAAACATTCTTTTGCCCACTCCATTTAACGGCCTTTCAAAGTTGTTATTGCAGATGTATAGCCTCGTCGACTCGATTGAGGGCAACACCGCCTACGAGCGCGCCTAACGAGCCCGGAGTTTGCTGAGACTCCCGCAGGAGCCCGATTCCGGCCAGAACCCGAAGCTTAAACAAACAGCGACATAGGACTGAAGAAAGTTGTCTCCTTTGCCCCTCCAGTGCCCTACTTTCGGGTTCTGGATGTGTCTGGAGTTAAGGAAGAAAGAATAGCGGCGCCCTGGAAATGGGTGAAAGCGGCACGTTTGTGTGCGCGCTCACATGCGCGCGCGTTCGCAAGTTCGCGCACCCCTGAGCGCGTCACGCGAGCGATCAGCACCGTCATCGAGGCACGGAAACGTCCGCCCTGCACAGCGCCGACGGATACGCGCCACGCGAACAATGTCTCGTCGACACGCACAGCGGGCCGCAGTGGTTGAAATCAATACCCGCTACTATTAGGGCGTGCCCTCCACCACCCTTTGGTGCCTCGACTGCTGACGCATGCGGCCCACCCGCTTCCCATCATACCATGGACGGCGGATTGGTTAAGTCTTTCGAAAGAATAAATTGGGCCTGTATCAACCACAGGTCTGTGCACAAAGATTGTTCCCACGATCAAATTCCAGACAATCCGGCTGCTGGACATTTGCGATAGGCTGCAGTTGCTAAGAGTGCTTACAAAATAAAACCTTCGTGAAATGTCCCCCCCCCCCCCCCCACCGTCTGTTAGAACACCTCTCACGGCTAAATTATATGGATTATCGCAAAAAATGCTGTCAGAGAAACGCTCGAAGAATGACGTAGGTGCACACAAATGACAAACGAATCCTGAAAACAAAGCTTTGCTAAATCAACTTCAAGGTCATTTTTTAATCATCTAGCAGGGACAGCAGTGCTCTTTTTTTTTAAGCTTCAGCACCCTCGTCCTACACGCACTTTTCTTTTCACGAAGGCAGGGGAGAGATCACTCGATGCTAACAGTCGCTAACCCGACCGTTTCTTGCTCTGCACTTATAGACTGGATCGTCATACGGTGTACCGGACAACAAAAACACACCCGCTAAATGAAACTTGTACACATGACATGCTGCGCCGTATATCGGGTGCCCGATCGTCTGAACGGTCCATTTCATTCTGTCTGCTGCAAGGCTTTCGCCGCTTGGGTTTCCAGACACTTGAAGATTAAATTTCTCTCGCTTTCTATTACATGCAAGTGTGGTTCGCTGGCCCCTTGCGTCAGACGCACAAATGAGTGCCTCATAGAGGCGGATATATAGTGAGAAAAAATAAATAAAATTAAAAAACCGAGTTGTAAAAATTGTAATCACTGTTTCTAGTAAGAGGAGTTGTGCTTTCGCATTGACGTCACGTGAATGAGGCCTTTCCGAAGTATGACCCCGAAACGAGCTTGCATCAGCTTTCCTTTTAAGCAGAAAGGATCTTCTCTCGCTTGCGCCGCCATACTAAACATGATTTATAGATATTTTATTCGGTTCCAAAAGCGTTCTCTTCTTTTTATGCTGATTTCACACCGCACCTTTTGTGCGAAATGATATTAAATGGCATTGCAAAAGAACTAAAGTGCTTTAGCTGGAGGTCGTTGATGAAGCGTTGTCGTGTGAATGTCTTCGCATGCAAGATATACGATTGTTGGGGAGGGGGCATACCTTCAGTGAATATGGCTACTGGCTTTGCCAGTACGCTGTGCGCGCTTTCGTAACACATAAATCGGCGCTCATACACTTGGTTAGCGATTTTCTTTATCTTTCTCTCAACATTACGCAACTCTTATTGCGGTTTGCTCTTTTATTCCTTCTGCAACGAATGACAGATTCATTGCAGAAAGGCGCCACCACTCTGGTCAATCGTGACTGAAAAATAGTGTAGTAGCAATTCCATTAGTGGATTACGGTATGTTGTTCCGCGACAATAGCTTCACTGCTTCTGCCTCGGCTGATTGTGTGAAGCCGACCACACCATTATATTAAGTATAGACTATACAAACACTTCGGCACAACGGCTCATTCGCGAGGTGAACATTATAGTAATAGGTTCAGGCAGACGCACCGCCTGCCACATCGAAGCGCATCCAGAGGGCCAACGGCTCCTCAGCCGATCAGAGAAACGCAGCGGAATGAGGACCACTCTCGGATTTCGGCCTCCGGGACAGGGCGAATCGTCGAGTAGAACCCGGAGCGAATGGCTTTATAGTGGGTGCGTGCGGCAGAGCGGTGCGCAACACGTGAACGCCAGGAATTCGTGAAGCCGAGCTCGAAGCCGTGTTTCGGATTACAGACACGATCGCCTGGTGTGAAACACCACCGCTTAACGCACGCCGGCTGGAATGTGTGCGCCCTCCTCGTTGCTGCTCGAGCAACAGTACTTCCACTACCGCCTGTGTATAGTTTCATTTTTTTTCTTCTTTTTGCATCGCTCAAGTTTATACAACCTGCACTGCCATCTATACGTGTGCGTCATTCTGGGCGAATGAAAGCCCATCGAGTACCGACTTTTACACTTTCTACACAGTGTGTATACTTTTTGAAAACAAACAAAAATAAAGCGACGTTTCCAGTCTACC